AATACATTAATAAACATCTATTTAGTATACGTGACACTTAAGGCTTAATTTGTGCAGTTACTTTTTCCATGAAGGTTGAGCGTAACATTAGTGTGATATTAAATAAATCTCTGGTATCTCTGGTAATACAGGATGTGCTGTGAAGAAAGGATAAGAGATAGTAATCACAGAGAACTGCCAACTTGCCAACTGAATCCTGGTGTAGGAATAGAAGTCGCCAATTTTCGTAAGTCAGATAATTCAGGATGGAAAAAGCGGTGAAGATTTAAAACAAAAACAATGGCGCAGAATAGGATCGCTTTCCGGTTAATCTGAAAAATATTACTTTTGGAGACGGGTTCAGTACGAGTGTGAAACATGAAAGATGGGCGTAGCGGAAAANAGGGATATAAAGCAGAGGATAGCGCAGGGTCGTGTCGCCTTTAATAAAAAGAAGTCACTTCTATGCTCACGAACCGTTAATCTAGAAATTCGAAAAAGGTTGTTAAAGGTGTATGTTTGGAGCACGGTGTTGTACGGGTGCGAAACATGGACAGTGGGAGCGAAGGAAAAGAAAAGGTTAGAAGCATTCGAAATGTGGTGTTATAGGCGGATGATGAGGATGAGATAGGTTGGTAGGACACCTTCTCAAGCATGAAGGTCTAGTCAGAGACATATTAGAGGCAGAAACAGGAGTTGGGAGGGGTAGAGGTAGGCCTAGATTAGATTACTCTTAGCAAATAGTTAAGGATGTGGGCTGTTCTAGTTTTAGGGAAATGCGAGGTTTGGCTCAGGATAGGAAAGAGTGGAGGTACGTGTCCAACCAGTCTTAAGACTGATGACCTTATGATGATGATGAATACAGGATGTGCTGTTAAGAAAGGATAAGAGATAGTAATCACAGAGCTATCAACTTGCCAACTGAATTCTGGTGCAGGAATAAGAGCATATTAAAAACTAGTAGAAGTCGCCAAATTTTAGTATCTGGCAAGTCAGATAATTCAGGATGGAAAAAGCGATGAAGATTTAAAACAAAAACAATGGTGCAGAATAGGATCGCTTTCCGGTTAATCTGAAAAATATTACTTTTGGAGACGGGTTCAGTACGAGTGTGAAACATGAAAGATGGGCGTAGCGGAAANTGTGCTGTGAAGAAAGGATAAGAGATAGTAATCACAGAGAACTGCCAACTTGCCAACTGAATCCTGGTGTAGGAATAGAAGTCGCCAATTTTCGTAAGTCAGATAATTCAGGATGGAAAAAGCGGTGAAGATTTAAAACAAAAACAATGGCGCAGAATAGGATCGCTTTCCGGTTAATCTGAAAAATATTACTTTTGGAGACGGGTTCAGTACGAGTGTGAAACATGAAAGATGGGCGTAGCGGAAAAAAAATGCTGGAATAGTTTAAGATATGGATTTCTGGGAGGATGATGAAAAAAACTGTGGACAGAAAAGAGGAGACATTGGAACGACTAGAAGAGAAGAAAGTCCTGTGGAAGTGAATTAGGAAAACGAGACATATGATGGTAGGAACACTTCCTGAGAGATGACGAAAGTAGAGGAGGAATAAGAAGGAGTAGAACAGAAAGCGTTATGGAAGTCAGTAAAGAAAGGAGAAAAGGGTGGTAGCCGATCTCTGGAGAGATGATGAAAATACTGTGGATAGAAGTGAGGTGATATGGGAACGAGCAAAGGCGAGAAAACAGCGCTATAGAAGTTAATTAAGAAAAGGAGACAAAAGATGGTGTAGAGCACCTTCTGAAAGATGATAAATATGCCATGGATAGAAATGAGAGGTCATAAGAATGAGTAGGAGAGCAGAAAGTGTTTGGAAATCAATTAGGAAAAGAAGAAAGGGGATGGTAGGCTATCTTCTTGAAATATGATGAAAATACCGTGCATAGGAAGTGAGGTGATATTGTAGCGAGCAAAGGCGAGGAAACAACGCTATAGAAGTCAATTAAGAAAAGGAGACATAGGATGGTGTAGCACATCTTGATGGATAAAAATAAAGGGGTATCAGAATGAGCAGGAAAGCAGAAAGCGCTATGGAAGTCAAATAGGAAAAGGAGGGATAGGATAATAGAACACCTTTTGAGAGTAAGGAGAAACAGGGAAGGTCTACTATTCACAATTGTAGTTTTGGAACGACTAGAGGAGTACAAAACGCTGTGGGTGTCAATTAGGATAAGGAAAAGGTAAAGGAGAGCAAACAGTAGTTTTCGGGAAATGTGAAGGTTGGCTTAGGATAAGAAGGAGTGGAAGTATGTGCTAATCAGTCATCGGGCTGAAGACCTTGTGGTAATGATGATGATGATTTAAAAAAATGCTTTGCTTGAATTTTTTGGTAAGAACTTTAAAACGTATACAGTAAAGTTGGTACAGTCCATTTCAATTTGTTAGAATTGTGACCTTGAAGAAATCTGCGCGTAGATAGAAAGAATACACACTAGGCGTGAGCAAGACCGAAATAATTGGAACAAGCTTGAACGAGCAGAGCTCTCGATAGGCGGTCTTAGGAGATCGGCTAAAACTGTACAGTACTAGACGAAAATGTTTAGAAATTTCTTAAAACAAAAATGTGTATAAATTAACAATAGAAAACAAAGCAAAAGTTTTATAGGTGTGTAGAGCGTTAAGTTAAATCACTTGTTAAATACAGCATATTCTTAAACTTTAACGAGGCAGTTTAAATAATTTTGCAAATGGTACTGTACACTTTTGTCTAGTTCTCGCTCGATGATCGGTGTAGAAATGAGTTCCGCAGACAAATATGATTGAATTTGGAAATATGCTACGGCGCATCCTAATAAAGGGAAGGGGCATATCTCCAAGTTCTTGAAACGAACAGTACATTGTATTGCATGCCCTATTAATAAAATTGTATTGTTTACTGTTTTTTGATTGTGTCGAAAATACAAAGATTTCGATTAAAATGAAAAGGAGGTCATGTTACTCTTCTGGTAAGTTTATTATAGATATTAACACTTCTCGTGCTTTATCGTAATTAATCCTTGGGTTACCACAATACCAGATATTTTTTTACAAACGAAATTCCTCAGGTACTTAAGTATTAACTCAAAACATTAAAATAACTCTTAAATGAACTTCTAGTGCGTATTTTTATGATTCTGTTACACCGTGACTTCTCATATATCTGCGAATGGATGTTTTTCATCTTTGTGCCAAAACCAGTTAAGTTACGTGCTAAAATTATTTATTGTCTTATTACCGTGAATATTGCGTCTAACCGTCATCGCCGTAAGAAACAACCAAACCGCAAACCATATAGATATAAAACAACGTGGTTGAAGATTGTTTGAAAATTACATGCGACTTAATTACTTACAGTCTTTGACTTACGTAATATCGTTTGCACAAAATCATTCCTAAGCACATTTTGCTTATGTAGGTACAGATAGTAAATGTGTGCTAATACACCTGTGCCAGGAGGCTCCTTCGACATTCCTGGCACGTTGCAGTCGCTTGTCAGGTTATTTATTCTTAAGTCAGTGTGGGCAGTGTTTTATTGGTCCATAGATCGGTCAGACACTAAGCCAATATAAGTGCGCCTAGTTACCATGGTCGACTTTCAGTTTTTCATTTCATTTGTTATTTCGATTTTTATGCGGAGGCACCAAACAACAATAAAGTTCGATATTTATTAACATAAAGATTCAAAGTTACATTTACTTGGCATTTATTGTTCTAAAGGATTGGTATTACAAAAGTTACTATAATGTTTTATAGGTGCAAGAATTGCACTGGGAAGAATGCAAGGGTGTCCATAATTTTGCCATAAATTGTAGAAATGACTTACACTGCATTCTTGTGAGAACTTAAGAGCTCTGTCACTGAATTTTGACAAATCAAATAAAGAGAAATTGATGAATTATCACAGACCCATTTAATGAAATTTTGTAAATAATTTAGTTATTTTTATAGGATGTGTAAAAGATTTATTCGTGGTAAGTCTTCGTTAGACGCTGAAAAAGCATTTTCCTTATTAAGGGGGCAATTTTTGTGTGATTTAAAGCAACTTTACGTTTATTATCCATTCCTTGTTTGTCTGTCTTTAAAAATAAAGACAGTAGTTAAATTTGAAGTACATTAGTAGGTAAGTACGCAATTCTGAAATTGGTCACAATTTGAGTAGTGTATTTTCAAAAGAAACACAATTTAAGAATGAAAATACAAGGGCAGTCCTAGAATTAATCAGCCTGACAAAGAAAACACAAAAAATTTGACAAAACTTTATTTATTTCAACATAAAATAATCTCCTTTTAGCTCAATACACTTTCGCCAGCGATGTTGAATAGCTTCGATACCTGGTTTATAGAAAGAAATGTCGAGCTCTTCCAAATAACTATCTACTGCAGACATCACATCTTTATCGTTCGCAAATTATTTACCACGGGGCCATTTCTTCCAGTTTGGAAATAGAAAATCGTTCAAGGGGGCTAAACCTGACTAATAGGGTGCATGAGGAAACCCACCAAGTCATTTTTTTTTTACTGGAAAATGAAAATAGTCCGAGAGCGGTAAATCTGGTGAACAGGGTGCATTAGGAAGTAATCCGTACTTTAAATGATTGATTTTGGGCACTGCAATAACGAATATGTAAAGATAAATAATAAACAACGTAGCTTTTTCAAACTTGCAACTTTAAGGAGAGTCCTATCTACCACAGTCGTTATATTTTAACAACTACCGCCATCTATGTGTTAGGCCGATTAATTCCACTACTGCCCTTGTATATGTACTTTAAGGCAGCTCCAAATTATTTGTAGTTCTTTTATTTAATTGAATCGTTTGTTAATAAACTTTGCAAATTGATCTCATTAATTAGTCTGTTAAATAAAACCAAAATTACCGTACAGTGCAATCTGATACTCAGCAATTGCTTAGGTCGACAAGTTTTGTGACTGGTGCACACTTTACTTTTACATACTTATTCTACAAAATGTTGTATCACATAAGAGATCTTACTTTCATCATAAATAGGAGTACTCTCTTACCTTGTGTGCCATATTATAAATTCGTGCCCTACTTTAACAGGGTAGTAAATTTTCTCCACTCTGGCACGTGTGCACCTGCTTAAGTGACTACTTCGTTCACTTGGACCTGCAAAGAATTTAGAATTAGTTTTAGTAGTAGAAGAAAAATAAAAAGAAAACTTACTACGTAAAGTATTATTATATGGAATATTGTAGCGATTAAAAATCGCGTGTAGTTGAAATTTGCCTTCAAATCAAATAATAAATTTAACGCTTACATGTACGTATGAATTAATTATCCTCAAGTTTGACTCTAAAGCAATCGCAAACATGCAATTGTTATAATCTTACGTAAATTCGTTTTTGTGAATTTTTGTTGTGTTGAAATTAATTTTTTTAAGTATAATCGTTTTTGTATAAAGTTTTAATAAACTACGGGAAACTGTCTTCTTTATAATGTTAATTTCACGAACGTGCCTTTGGCGCATATTTTCTAGAGGCATCGATCTCATACATTACAAAAATTTTTTGTTTAATTTTTTTAACACATAACTAGCGCTTTTCACTGATAATCGTGCATGACCCAGAAAAATGAAGAACTCCGGCGAAACGGACAAAAAGACACACGGATGCGTAACTAATCTTATGATGAACCCATATATAGAACCCTAAAAATAGACACTTCTGTTGAAGTATATAGTATATAGCACGTAGTAAATCATTATGTTCGTTCTATTTAATTAATAATTATTTTTCTTTTGTTTTAGGTAAGTCTACTCAGTAATAATAATCGAAGGATTTTCGTAAGTATCAAACAAAATAAATTAATAATTCTCTGTATTATTTCTAAAATTTTTATTAAATTCATAAAAGAAAAATCATTTTAATAGAAAATTTATCCTTCGAGATGACCTATCTGAAATTATTACAGCAATGAATACAATGGGTGTCCTTGCAAGGATAATTAAGACGGCATTCGTTTCCATTGTTTACTTTTCCACACGGGGGGCGTCAAAGTGGATTTGGTTAATTAGTTGATTCTTGACAAATTTTGATATTGATAAGCCGACTCTTATATATTCTAACATAGTAAATACGAATATGAAAGAATTTTTTGAATAGCAATGGAAATTGTATAAAAATGATGATATTAGAATCTAGAATCGAGTCACATATTAAAATTTTAAGAGAATGTTTTCAATATGGTCAACTTTGACGTCACCCTTGGTTGAAAAACAACTTATGGAACGAAAAACGCTGAGATATCGGTCAGGGACATGTCCTCTGCTCATTTTTGCAATAATTTGAAGAAGAAATGGTCCGGGGATCCAGTTTGGATCTGGTACTTTTTTAGGATCCGGCCGGCTACCGGATAATGGCGCCAGGTACTTGGCAGTGCCGGCTAAAGCCTGATTCTCACTATTGATTTTATTGTATTTATATTAATATATATCGAGTAAAAACTGCTGAATATGAATCTTTCATTCGTTCAGTAAACTATTCATTAATCCCATGTAATTCTCTTTAATGAATGGATATGTTTGATATTACGTACAACCTTTTTTTTTAGTGAATAAGAATGCACCTATTGTTACTATTTCTGTCGCTTGTTGGTATATCAGGTTTTGATTAATAGTAACTTATTAATATGATTTTGACATAACCTTGCAGATTTTCAATGAACATTATACGCTCATTTCAACAGTTTTAAATCAATCTTCCCGTTGAAAATTCGCCAACCAAGAATTAAAATTTCATTGATTTTGTGTTTAAACGACTTCTTGAACGGGGCTTAAAGTGGATTGGGACATTGGGAAGGGTGTTATGGTATTTAATGTATTTTGTACAAAAGTTTTAAATTGTTTATAGTATGCCCATTGTTGTACTTAAACCAAATCAGATTTGATTTTATTAAGTATTTACTGGTCTCTAATCATATTTATACAAGTATTACCTAACGGACTAGCCAGCGTATGCAGTGTTACAGGACGATATTAAAAATACCGCGGATATAGAAAAAGTTATAAATGAGGAGGTTTTAGAATGATTAGAATAGATGGCGTTATGGATGTCAACAAGAAAAAAGCAAAATACTTTGGTAGGACACCTTCTAGGACATGAAGGGCTAATTAGAGTTATGCTATAGAAGTAAGAACAGAAGTTGAGAGGGCAGAGGCAGAACTAGATTAAATTGACCAATAAATAGACATAAAGTATTATACATATAATTATAGTGTCATTTCATCTTTACTTTTATACTATTTGATATTGACCAAAAAAAAATGATTGGCAAATGTTGCATAATTAAAAGTGTTAATGGTTATCGAGGAAAAAATGAAAAATTAGCTGAAAATCTCGTTTTTAGTTGATAATATAATGATAAAATTTATAATTGTCTGAAATAAATGCAATTTTAAAGTTTTAACTATTATTACTAAGTTGAAATCAAGGCATATTCACTGCCAAATGTCGTTATTCGTTATTTCTTATTTTATTTAAAGTTTTTGGTCAAATTCCAAATTTTCTCTCAAACCGTATACTTTTAGTACCTATAGATACTATTTATTTACCTCATAATATGCTGCAAAACCTAATTAATCACGAATTTCTACTTTTATGTACTCTTGTCTCCGATTGTACCTCCCAAACATCCTTAAACATCTCTCGAACCATTCTAATAATATACATATACGTATTGCGAATCATATTAATTACTCTTCCCTTTCACATAAGCACGCGTGTTGTCCAATTCAAATCGTTCCATTATTAAGCAGTGAAAGAACATTCGCGGCCATGCGTTTAAACGAGCTATTAGGCGCTAATAACAGTAACAACAACTACAACAACAACACGGCAACGTATCAGGCCTGTGCTGCGACTCCTGCCGCGGCAAACCAATTAAGCGCTTTTATTGTTATCTTTTAGCAGGTGGAGTAATTAATACATTTGCAACGGTTCCCAGTTACCTATACGCTCAAAGACGAAAGAAAGAAAGACAAAAAAAAAGAAGTAACCGCGCCGCCGGTGTTAATAACTGCACGCTGCGCGGGTAATTCCCTCAAAGGGAGAGTGAAAGCTTGATACCCGGTATATCTGAACCACATCTGCAAAGCTTGTCCGTCTGCTTATTTTATTATCAGCAGCTACTACAGATATTATAATAATGACATTGCTAAAACGTTGTCGATTTATTTGTAAATAGACACAAGATCAGTCGCGATAAAAATACGATAAATAAAAGAGATTAGGCGTGCGGGATGTTTTCACTTTCCACAGCGAATTAACCAAACGGAATGTAAAATAGCAGACATATGTACCTATATAAAAAATCCTGCCACCCGTTGCTTCCACAATTAATTCACACAGTGCTCGATTCAATCCAATTGTGCTCGCGAATCATATCATTAATGATGAGCAAATTTAATATTATCATTGGTGTTATTTATTACTCTTACTGGACAAAATTTCATTTTGTTTCAGAGAAATAGAAAGCACTTGTGAGTTTCACTAAAATATTCATACGGCTTAGAAGCATTAATTCACCACACACTGTGCTTTCTTTAGTTTTACCAACTTTATTACACATACGTATGACTTCTGCAATTAAAAGTCAAAACGAAGTCCCAAAAGAAAACTGGAGTTTCAAATATTAAAATTGCGATAAACAATTTCTATTCCATAGCGGCGACAAATTATAGTTCTTATAGCATTTTCTTGCGCCAGTTCTATTTCAAGATATGCCCTGTATAATAATCTTTAATCGCTTTTCGTTGAACAGGTCGAAGCAAGACTAGAGACAAAATGTTTAAAAGTACCATTTTTCAGCGACAAGTTATAGACAATTTATAGCCTTTACAGTAGTTTCTTGCGCCAATGCTATTTCTAGATATGCTCTGTATAANTATAAAGATCAACAGGCAGTTATAGAGCTAGGGTTGCAACCTAGAGAAGTAAATATTAGGAAGGGAGTCAGACAGGGATGCACACATAAGTAATGTTTAGCAAATAATAAATGCATTGTTTAGCATTTTGTAATACGTAATAAAATTTGTTCTGCAGAAATTACCAAAGGGCATATAAATTTGCGATACGTAATCTATAAAGAAAGCCAAGGTTATTGAAATTTTATGGGCTTACGCGTATGAATATCGAATACCTACTAAATAAGCAAAAACGCTAAGCAGAAATCGGAACAGGAGCAACTATTATAAAGCTTTTTACTGTTTTGTTTATTCGATCATTAAATTTAGAACTGACTCATCCACATTCGCAAAGTCAGTAAAACAATTGTAAAACGTTTTTACTTCCAAAATACAATTCGATCAAACATTACAAGTTTTCTTTTTATACTATGAAATAGACTTCAGTCATAAATATGTGGGGGGCATCTATTACATGTGTAGTCGTGTAGTACATTCGTATTGTGCAATAATTGTTCTGTAAAATAAAAACAAAACAATTTTTAGAAGTTTGAAAAATGAGGTAATGTTATTTTCATATCAAAAGTAAAAATATTTTTTAACTCATTCGAGTAAATACTTTTAGTAAAGCGGAAAATCTACAAGTTTGGGAGATTTTATATGATGAATAATGTCAATGACTTTAGTAGTGTTTTTATTTTTGCACAGGAAATCTAATTTTACCTTAAAGTTTTGCACATGACTCAGAATTGTCGCCTAGAAATTTACTTACTTCCTTGTGGGTTGAAGACTTCTTGGTAACTAAATCAATAAACGCCCACTACACTAATGCAGACAACATTGAATTTAGGGTATCCAAACTAAGTTTCAAATTTCCTCATTATTATTTTACTATATAAGAAATGCAACATTTGAGATCGACTATGTTTTTACGTACTTGTAGTGACCTTTTAACACAATAGTTGCAACCATTTCAATGGCAAAAAATGCGAAAAGAAGAACTTATTTAAATAGATTTTTTAAAAGCATAAGTTTCAAATAACATCGTTCAGAAACAAACACAATCTGTTTCTAACAAATACAGCGCAAAAATAGCAGGTGCACATATTTTTATAACATACTTTATAGATAGATCTGTAGATATGCAGGGGCAAATGGTTACTATGCTTAGATTTGTAGATGATCTAGCAGTAGTAGGATCTAGCAA